ACACATGGCTTTCCCCTTCCGGTAAAGAGCTGGATCTGAAGCAGTTTGCCATTTCAGACTGCACCGCTTTTTCTCGACCGTTTTTTGCCATCGCGGGCGATCTCCAGCTTTGTTTTTTAACGTTCGCTTTAGAGCGCTATAGCGCTATAGTGCTATAACACAACACTCCAGGCATTCCAATGGGGTTGATATAGTGCTGTTGCATTATAGCGTTATACCGTTATAGCGCTATAAAGCGAACGTTAAAAAAAAAAGCTGGAGATCGCCTGCGCGGGTGGAAAATGGTGGGAAAAAGCACATCGGAACCGAGAGAGGAAACTGAAGACTACTTGGAAACGGTTGACAGGTAAAACGCTTCAGCCCCGTTTCCTAAACGGGACAGAAGCGTTTGTGTATGAAATTACAAATATATTCCGGTAGGGAACCGGTTCTAAAACGGTTCTGTCTGAAATGACAGACCAGAAACCGTTTGGGAACCGTTCCTCTTCCGGATTATATCATCTGTCTGAAATTCCTCACAGTTTGAAGATCCTTGTGCTGTGGAAGCGGCGGCTGCTGCCAAAGCAATGTTTAGAAAAACCTGCACTGCCAATCCGAAACCCTGCTGGGCAAAGACCCCGCCTGGCCCCACCCATGTTCTAAAAATACTTGGCAGGCACCGCGGCACCCGCAGACATCATGCTGGGGGACCCCAATCTAGATCTAAAAACAAACATCCAGGCTGATCAAGAGCTCTCCAGAACTCCAAAGCTCATACACTTGTTCTATTTATTATTATTTATTTACTGAACTTATATCCTGCTCCTTTCCCCACAAGCAGGGCGGCTTCTGTGTATTATTGTGGTTGGTCTTCATAGAAGGCATTTTAGGGCTTTTAAAGAGATGAATTGGAAACTTCACTTTCACCACAGTAAAGGCAGAAGGCATTTTCCATTAGCAACTAAAAGTTGTGATAACAAAAGGTGATGGATTATCCTCCTGCCATTATTAGATCCCCTCACTTAGACACCTTTGGGTTACACAGTTACCCTGCTTGTCCACCTCAGCAAATTCATGTATTCCTTTCTCCTATATATTGTAAGGGATACTCAAAATAGCAAAATACAGATGGCAGAGAATTATGCTGGCTGTCTGGGGTTCCAGCAACGGCCTGGAAGCAGGCAGTATTTTGTTCTGTTATCGGAAGGCAGTTTTCCATTACTTTCTGGGACTGATAAAGGATGCTGCACACAAATAAACACAGCCAAGATGGCTCACTTGTCGCTTTTCTCCTATTGTGAGAGTGCCTGAGACTAATAAAAGGGTTGAGATTTCTCTGCAGAATGCAGGAAGCGACTGGGCCCAACCCAAAAGCCCCGTGCAAGGACTGCAAGTCTGACCATTCCCCCCCCCCTCTTTTATTGCTTTAATATCTGCCACGGCCAAGGCAGCTTCAGCAACATTATTACACTTCTCTCTGGACCATAATGTAAGCTGATGGGTTTTTGTACACCACAGATACCATTAGGGACGACAAAATTTTTCCTCAGAGGAGGATCCTGGCATAACAGTTTTCAGACTGTGGTAAGTTAAAAAAAGAAAGTGGCTTATGCCTATCAAGAAACAAACCTCCTTGGGAGACAGAGTGTTGCGCAGCTTACTGAAGCCAGGAACTAATTTCTTATATGGGAACCATTAAAGGAGAGGAGCAGTCCTGTTATGAACTGGGCAGCCACGCTCCATTTATGTCAGTGCTAGTGGTCATTCCAGGATGCTGGGCGTGTGGCTGCTCAAAGGAGAATGGGACGCACCTGAGACTTGGGAAGGCAGTATTATTTCGCCACACAGAGTGGATTGCCTATGGGGAATTAGCAAAAGGAAGCTTCCTGCTTTTGTGTGACACAGATTGCAAAAGTATACCAGGTGGATCCCCCTACTCGTAAGTAGTACCATCTCACCCTTGTCTATTGGCCAGTCCACCAAACTGGTTTCAAGATGTGCGCTGGAGCCTCCTGCTCTGGGCCAGGATGCCTGGCAGTGTCTGTCTCAAAGAGGAGAATCAGCCCTGGAGGCTTCTGCTGCTTGTCTTCCTGGACCCCCTGAACCAAAAGGACGCCGGGAGAAGTTTGGCTTCCCCTCTACGCTATGCATTAATACAGTACGTACATTGCAGAGTAAGGGAACACGAAATGGTTAATGCGCAGGCTGAAGCAGCTGGAGTTAGCCTGGCCTAGATAATGGTCTGAGCACGCTGCCGGAGGCTCGAAGGAGGCAAGGGCTGGCTGAGCAGCTGCTCGTCATCTTGCCATAGGAGCTGGTTTTCTTCTTTCCGGGTGTGCTCTTCGTACCATTCCTGTACAGGGAGAGAAGACGGCGAGACTTTCACTCACTCTCCCAGAGCATGTCCTCAGAGCAGCACCCTGCCCCTGTCCATAGGCTCTGCTTAAGTGAGCCAGCTACCAGAAGTCAAAACAAGGCCCTTCCTCCTTCTGAGGAAAGCTGCATCATCTCTGGCGGCTCCAAACCTTGTGGAAGGGCCTGCTTGAGGTGGTCAGGAGGGCCCCTGTCACTCCTATCATTCCACAGAATGCACAGAACACGTTCTGGGGAGCATTTTTACAAAGAAATTAGAACTGCAGTGTAATGGAGCAGGAGAAAAGCTCCCTTTTATATGGGAGTAGGATTGTAGTCTATTGCACTGTTCATTGTATATTTCAACTTTTTTTACTGCAATAGTCCTCAACCTTTTCAGCCTCCTGACTGTATTATGGTGGTGTTTATTTATTTCATTTATACCACACTTTTCTCCCCAATGGGAACCCAAAGTGGCTTACATCATTCTCCTTTCCTCCGTTTTATCCTCACAGCAACCCTGCGAGATCAGTTAGGCTGGGAGTGTGTGACTGGCTGAAGGTCACCCAGCAAGCTTCCATGGCCCAGTAGGGATTTGAACCTCAATCTTCACTCACTCTAACCACTACACCACACTGGGATGTCATGCCTTGAGTTGTTTTTTTGTCTGCATTGTTTTCCAGTTGGGTAATCCTAGTAACTACTGCATTGTTTACTGGAAGCCTTTGCCACCTGATTCAATTGCTTTTCATATTTTGTCATCTGCCTTGAGCATCACTGAGCAAGGCAGGGTATAAATGAAATTAATAACGGAAAAATTAGTTCATGGACAACGTGTAGAAGAAGGGGATGCTGACCAAACCTGATTAGCCAACACCATGACCCGCAAAAGCACCTCAGAGTTCACCAAGCAGGCATATTAGCAAACATACCACCATAATACTTGACTATGAGCAGGGGACCCCAAGTCTATATTTCTGGTTTTCAACTTGCACAAGCTTGCACCCTACCTGTATCTCTTCCTCATACATTCTCATACTCAAGTCGCTTTTCGTCCTTGATCTCCGTCCCAGAAACAGCATGGATGTTTGCTAAGGCAACAGAAGAAAAAGGTAAGAGAAAGGAACCTGCCCCAGACTGATGCCAGAAGTGAGAACTAACTTGGGTTGTGGCATCTGCTATTCAACAGCTGTGGTAGCTTTAGTTTTCTGGGATGCTTTGGCACCTGGCACTTGCAAGCCAAACAGGGCTAACACATACATGGGGCAGGTGGGTTTGTGCATGAGAGAGGGGAACCATGAAGACAGTCATGCATGAACGTTACAGTCTCATGCACCTTTATTCTGTCGTGAGTCAAGGCAAACTGCTATTCCTTGTGGCTTCCCAATGTGGGAACATGCAGTAACATTCTTCCTCCTACACCGAGACAATGTCACCCACGAAGCAGCTGAGAAGCACCATATATCTGCTTTTAAAATTGTGGCATTTATTTTGCTCAGTAAGAATCACTGGTCGTTGACATTCACATATGGAACCATGGAGAAAATATTCATCTGTCAACTTGCATGAGACCAGCCATAAGAACACAAGAACCACCCTGGTGGATCAGACCAATGGGGTCCATCCAGTCCAGCATCCTGCCCCACGCAGTGGCCAACCAGTTACACTGGAGGGCCAACCAGGGCATAGAAGCTAAGACCTTCCCTCCATGTTTCTTCCTGGCACTAGTATACAGGGGTTGTCTGCCTCTGAACAGGAAGGTCCCCTTTAGTCACCATGGCTAGCAGCCACTGATGGCCCCCTCCATCCATTTGCCCAGTCGCCTTTTGAACCCATCTGTGCTTACGGCCAATCCTACCTCCATGGGCAGCGATCTTTATTCAGCCGCCATGAATAAAGGGGGAGGGGGAGGAGAGAAGAGGAAGGCGTCAACCATGGAGACCAGGTCCTGGGTCTTTGTCACTCACCCTGTGCCTGTCCATCTGGGAAACGACCTTGAGAAGCTGGCTGGCAGCCGAGGCAGCGCCGTTCCTCCCATACAGCTCTGCGACTGAGGTAATTTCTTCCTTGGAGACTTCCTTCTCTAATACAATACCACTGTCTTCTGCAAAAAAAAGGAGGACGAAAAAAGAGGGCTGCTCGTTATAGAGTGGCAGGGAGCTACAGCTGGGAAATTCCTGGAGAATTTGGAAGTGGAGCCTTAGGAGGGGAGGGACATCAGTGGTGTATAATGCCATAGAGTCCACTCTCTGGGGAACTGATCTCTGTCGTCTGGAAATCACTTGTAATTCCCAGAGACTTCCAGGCCCCATGTGGCGACTGGCAGCCCCATGGGGAACATAAGATGCAATGACTTCACACAGCAGGAACGAGGCCTGGCCTCTCCAAACGGGCATGAGAAGTGGGATTAGCCTTTCAAAAAACACCCTGAAAAAAATCTCTAAATATAGATTTAGAGTGGTGTGGGCTGGCAGAATGGAGCCCAATACTGGGATGGTATTGATTGAGCAAAAGGAGGAGGAGGGATTGGATTTATACCCCACCCTTCACTACCCCCGAAGGAATCTCAGAGCAGCTTACAATCTCCTTTCCCACTCCACAACAGACACCCGGTGAGGTCGGTGGGGCTGAGAGAGCTCTTTCGAGAACTGCTCTTTCAAGAACAGCTCTGAAAGAACCTGTGACTGACCCAAGGTCACACCAGCAGCTGCATGTGGATGAGAGGGGTTCTACCAGATTACAGTCCACGCTCCTAACCACTACACCACTCAGGGCTACACCCACCCCGCCCCTGGCTTGGGTGCTTACAGTCACACCATGGTAGTGCCAAGACAGATGTAGACTGAAGCAGACATAGGCTAAGTTTCCTTCACCAATTCCCAGACAATACTCCCTGATACACTTATAATAGGATAATAAAGCTGAGCAAGTTTTCCTAGCAAGGGGCAATGAAAGTTTAGAAACATCCTCAAAAAGGTGGAGCTGGAAGGATGGGAGAGACTTTTCTACTCTGAAGCCTGAGCAGTTTAACAGCAGCAGTGAGTGGCAGAACTAGGTCTAAAAGCTTAGCACATGAAAAATACTGGTCTTAGTGGAAAAGGAGAGTGGTTCATTTGTGCAAGACTAACTTCCACAGAGCTCCTTGCTTTGCAGCCATAAATCAGCACAGTTGCACATGAGATCCTGTCTCCTGAGGACCAATTCACATGTTACACAGTCAATGCAGTGGACACATGGCCTGTCAACAGATGCGCACCCAAGGCTTCCGGTCTGGCTAAGATGGAGGACACACAGTCAATGCAGTGGACACATGACCTGTCAACAGATGTGCACCCAAAGTTTTATGTTGGGAACTTAATTCCCAGGTTTACAAGTCCTCCTTTGGATCAGGACTTGGGCTTATGGCTTCCCCCCGCACTGTTTTCCCAACCCAAAATGGTCTTGGAAGTTGCTATTTGCTCCAAAGGGAAAGCCTAGATGTAGCCATGGACATATGTCTCCACACACTGCAGTCCTCATCCAAAATGGGCCCTGCACAGCTGGAAGCTGAGGTCCCAGCATGGAATGCCAGGTGCCCAAATCCTTCCTACCACACGGCCTTTGCAATCTGTGAATCCGCCCTACTTCAGACCATTGGCCCACCTATGTCAGTATTATGCACTCAGACAGCAGATTCAAAAAATGCAGGAAGTGAACCAGAGACTTCATGCATATGAAGCATGTGCTTTATTGCTGAAGTTCAAGATGTTGTTGTCATTGAGCCATGAATGGAAACCAGACCATTCCCTATTATACTGTTGTTGTTCGGTCGCCCAGTCGAGTCCGACTCTTTGCGACCCCATGGACCAGATCACGCCATTATACTTCTCCAACAAAGGTATAGAATGGCTTAGGGTACAGCTGGATGCAAATCTACCGACCTTCTGAATCACGATTCTTCCGAGTATAGTTCATGCGGAACACAAAGGCATCCAATATAAAGGCTACAATTATGGTCATCACTACCTGAGGAAGAAGGAAGGAAGGAGTGAAAGTTAGTGGATTTTTCTTCCACATTCATATCCCACCCATTTCTCCAAGGAGCTCAGGGTACCAGGGTTCCCTACATGAGGATTCTCTCATGTGATCCTTGCAACTGCCATGCAAGGTAGGGGAACCTAAGGGGAAAGGTGGGCAGCCATGTTGGTCTGAAACAGCAGAACAAAGCTTGAGCTCAGTGGAACCTTTAAGACCAACAAGTTTTATTCAAGGTATGAGCTTTCGTGTGCATGCACACTTCCTCAGATACACTACAAATGTATCTGAAGAAGTGTACTTGCACACAAAAGCTTATACGTTGAATAAAACTTTGTCGGTCTAAAGGTGCGACTGGGCTCAAACTTTGTTCTAAGGGGGGAGAGAGAGAGATTGTCCCAAGGTCACCCAGTGAGTACTATGACTGAGTCGAACACTCTACCCACCCACAGCACACTGGCTGTCTTGCAGGACACACCCCAAGGCAGGAAAACACTGTTCAAAGAAGAGGTGGGCACCTCTCACCAGCACAGACAAGATGTCCTTGCCTCCTCCTAACTGGATGGGGATAGGAGGAATCACGCATCAGTCAAGGATGCCCTCCCCCTCTTCCTCTGAACGTGAATGAAGGCTCAGTCATTGGTGTTTGGGAATTTATGGACACTGTAACCCACTCCAGCCCTTGGGATGGGACAGGCTATAAATACAATACAAATATGAATAAATAAGAATTTGGACAGAATAGTAGGTGACAGATTCAATAAAACATGCCAACAGGAACACTGGCAAACATTATCATCTGCCATCAATAATAAATCACAAACCACATGCTACATTGTTTTGCAAAATATCATGGCATCTCCACTTACCATGGTCACAATGTAGAAAATCATGAAATAGAGGCGACTCCAATGAGAAGTCTCTGATGTCACCCCTTCCTAGCAAGGAATGGAAAAGGTTTTTAGGGTCATGCAAATAAACTGCTTGAACATAGCTCATGTACGAACAGAGTACTCACCTGCCCCTCAAGCCTTGTATTACAGAATTTAACATCTCGCATTACAGGATTTTAAAACACTGTACTGAAGAGGGCCAGGTGATCCTGATGCAAGAACTTGCGATACTGCAGGCTCTTGCATCACAAAGGCATGATTCTACCACAAAGACTAGGTGCAGTTCCTGCTTTCTTGTCCGGTTTCTTCCTCCAGTATCCAAATTCATTCAGTTCAAAAGCTCAAAGTCTACTTATTTATTTAAGATAGTTATATCCTGCTCTTAGGGCTAAGGGGATAACAACTACGAGAGATTATACCCCATTTCAAGAATAAAACCTAAAACCTCAGCCCACTGTAAAATAACTAAGTCAATTCACCCACCATAACTTTACTGATCTGTCAACACTGTAGTTTATGGATATTACGGAGTTGAGACCCACCAGCCCCAGTCAACGTTTTAACAGAAAGACTTCTGAAAGAGCTATGCTTTCCACAAAGCTAGGATGGAAGAGAACTGGTGTATTGCATGGGGGGGATAACCCAGTGTCTCTTGTGCACAACATTGTTGTAAAGAAAGGCAGTCATTTCAGGGAGAAGGGAAATCGATCTGAACTTCCGCATTTAAAAATGACATTTCAAAAAAATGTCATCTCCCTTTACTGAGTTGTTTGGAGTATTCTGACCTCTCGTTGTTACACCTGAGCTTGCTGAACTCTATCCAGCATTCTGCAACAGGGTTCACCTCTCTTATCATACAGAGCATGTGATGTTCTTCCTTGCAATTACTTCTTGTGAGCTCCCAGACCTGGCACAAACACCTCATCCTGATTTTCAAAATCCCCTCATAGCCTTGGCCCTGTTATCTCTCTGTTCTCATATCCCAGTTTACCCTTGCATGTGGCCTTCAGGCCTCTAATCCCCCTGCAGTGAAAAATGCTATCAGCTCACAGCCAACACATGGGTTTACGTGGTAAGAGATGAAGAGAGGTGTTTGGCCATGGCCTGCCTCTGTGGGGTAACCCTGGACTTCCTTGGTGGTCTCCCATTCAAGTACTAGGCAGGGTCGGCCCTGCTCATCTTCAGAGATTGATGAGATCAGGCTAGCCTGGGCCATCCAGGTCAGGGCACTAACCCCCCTACCCTTAGCCAATACTCTCCTGCTCCCTCAAAAACCACCCTTCCTTCCTTGCTGTCCCAACACCTGGAGCTCCCTCCAGATTACCAACATGAGGCCACCTTTCACTTCCTTCAAACACCTGTTGCAAACCTATCTATTCTATGATGCCCATGGTGCAACCTCTCCTCCCTACTGAAACTTCAATTCTACTGTTAAAAGCCACACGGACTATAACGGAACAACGATACTCTCAATATAGCCTACTGAAACTAATCCCATGGAACTGGAACGAACACAAACACAAGAACATAAGGTGCTGGATCAGACCAGGGATCCATCTAGACCAACATCCCGTTTCACACAGTGGCCAAAAAATAGGACATAGACTCTAAGGTCCTCACCCCCTGATGTTACCTCTTAACCACTGGTATTCAGAGATTCACTGCCTCTGGATACGGGTGTTCCCTTTAGTCACCACACCTAGAAACCACTGACAGACTGGTCCTCATTTTATGGACCTTTCCTCCACTCATCCCCACTTGTACCTGTAACTGTAAATCACTTTGTGCCCACTTGGTGGGGAAAGCGATTAATAAATCGAAAGCATTATTATTACCTCCCTCTATTTTACAGCAATTTTTAGATTGTTAACTCCTCAGGGCAGAGACTTGATTTCTGGTACTCTGAATTGTGCCACCAAACCACATGGCCTTTGACAAATAATATCGCCTATGATGTTAAAAAACCAGTGGGTCAGTAGTGATTGACGACCGTCATCCGGAGTGATATTTCGAGCCACAGGACACTATAAAGAGGTTAACTGCTAGCAGGCAGAGCTTCCTGCCCCACATCTGAGAGTGGTACTTACCATGATGATGTACCAGTCATTGACGACTGTCAACTCGAACAGGGTAACTGCATACGGTGGGGTGGGGTGAGGTGGGGGAATGGAGAAAAAACATGCACACGGTCATCACCACAGCTCACTTTCCCCTCTCATATGCATGAACACGTGAAGCTGCCTCCCACTGAACCACAGCCTTGGTCTGTCAAGGTCAGTCCTGTCTATTCTGACCGGCAGTGGCTCTCTGAGGTGTCAGGAAGAGAGGGCTTTCACATCACCCACTTATCATCTCTGTCAGTGTTACATAAACTTTAGCAACAGCCACAGTGGTGGAGTTGCTCCATGCTCATGGACGTATCCACAATAGACCCGCTGCACTGGAAATATGTTTATTTTTCAAAATTCCTTCTCACGCGGTGCTCCGGGACCGAGCAGCTTCTGGGGAGGAAACACGTGGACATTTCTTTGCAGAGGTCAAAGTCACCATTGGGTAAAAAAATTTAAGGCACTTCTATCATCGGGAGACAAAGGTCGCTCCACTCAGAACTACTGCTCAGCATTCTCCTCAGACTGTAGCAATTTTTTCAGTCTGGGCTTCTGCAAAACACTGTTGTGCATTCGTTCATCCACGTTCTGGGTTTCCCTCAGCCCTCCTGCAGGTTTCCCTAAAGCTCGTTTGGCATGATGCTTCCCAAAAGGCAGACCCAGAGCAGATTTGGGGAAAGCATGGATGGGGAGGTGTAGATTCCCGTGCTTCCCTGCCCTTATCAGTTGCCACAGCCAGGGCTATTTCTTCTCACATATGCCATTTCCCTGTCATCCGCAGCTAGCAGGCTTTTTGATTTTTCTTAATTATTGGTAATGGTTTTATTGCTATAGCTAGTTGGAGGGCAAATGAATGATGGAGGAACATGAGCACAAAGCCTGCAACCTGAGCTGCTTGTCCCTCACATACATCTCTCTACTCAAGCCCCAAGTTTTTCTTCTATAGTAGCAGATTTCTGGGATTTGTGTGCATTACCAAAACTGTTCAAAACGTTGTCAAAGTTGTTGAGATAGTAGTAGCCTTCTTCCACCACCGTCTTGTTCCCAATGGTGCGGTTCACCCAGCGATAGGCATCTGCCACTGTGCTGCTGCTGCATGGAGAAACGGGAAGGAACAAGCAAACCATGAGAGGGAAAGCAGCAACTGCAAATGCAAAGGGTCTGATCTGGATGACTGTTAACATGTCCTAGAATCTGTCTGGGTGCCGTGCCCTGAGAGCCAGTTTGGTGTAGTGGTTAGGAGTGCAGACTCTAACCTGGGAGAACTGGGTTTGATTCCCCACTCATCCACATGCAGCTGCTGGTGTGACCTTGGGTCAATCACAAGTTCTTTCAGAGCTGTTCTCTCAAGAGCAGTTCTCAAAATAGCTCTCTTAGCCCCACCTACCTCACAGGGTGTCTTGTTGTGGGGAGGGGAAGGGAAAAGAAACTGTAAGCTGCTCTGAGACTCCTTTGGGTAGTGAAGGGCGGGGTACAAATCCAATCTCTTCTTCTTCTTCCAGGCCACGGGAATGCCAGTCATCCATGGCTAGTGGCTTCAAAGGCCCATGGCCAGTCACCTGCTCATCAGCAGACGTGGTCTCAACCTGTGGTTCAACCACAGCTGTGAACACCAATGAAAGATGTGCTCTTTCATACTCCTTCAAGCTGAGGGTCCAGCCCAACCAGAAGTCAACGTGTGCAAGTGGTGACACCCCATGACTGTCTGCCATCATACCAAGGGTCAGACTAGCTGGGGGCAACAGGAATGGACCTGAGTGTTTTATGACTGATACTAATTTATTCAAATCAGTTGGGTCCTAAGCAGCATGAGTGGAGCCATGTTAGAGGGAAGGCAACTGAAACCATGCTCCTGTGACTCAATGGATCGTGAGGAATGATAGGAGTGGGGCAAAATAGGGGTCTGAAGTGGGAGTGGGGATTTGGCAGAAAACAGCCCTCCCATGCTAGTGGGAATGCTTTTCCGGCGACAGAAGTGCTGTCATGCTGATGGGATGGCAACTTAGAATCCAGCCCATTGTGATTTACATATCTGAATAGCTAGGTTCTTCCCCTCCTTCCTTCTGTGTTTTATAACAGACTGCACCTTTACAATCTATAGTTTTGTTCTCCATTCCTCCATAAAAGTTTTTTTTAATGAATGATGGGAGAGCAACGCTCAACAGATTACGCAGCTGTAGTAGAAAGGCCATCCTAGACTTAAATGTGACCTTTCCTTTCCAAACAGCAGTGCAGCTGATCTTCCAGCCTAAGGCGAAGGATGTGAAGCAGCAAATTCCAGCAACGTCTTCTGGCCTCAGAGAAAGGAACAGAGCAACCTGACTCCCACCCTGAACATTACAACTCCAACAGACCCAATTTAGAGACAAATGGTTGGCTGGCTGTACTCCATCAACGTTCATCAGGCTGAATGGATGTTCTCTAGCAGGTTGGCTTCACAGGCAAGTGGATTCCTGTGGACTTGGGCAAGGGACATCTGCGGCAGTGTGCTTCCCAAAGGAGACACAGCCAGCCCGTCAGCCACTCTTGTACAACCGTGATGTACAACCAACAGTGACGAAATGGCACTTGGTAGAAAATACAGCCACTTCTTGAAACTGAAGGGCCCTTTTTTGAAAGCCTGCTATGGGGATGAGGCAAGTGATTCTGGCTGCCTCAGCTTCCTTTTCATTATGTTGACTCGGCAGTGCCCCCTGTCGCTGCTGCAAAAACACAGCAGGAGATACTGAACTAGACCACAGCACTGGTGCATGATGGGATATGGCCAGGAAGAACAAAATCCTTTTCAGCTCTCACCAGGGATCATTTACTGAATTCTCTCCTGCTTCAAGTGCCCATTTCTCTACCTGCCCAGAGCACCTGCATTTGAGAAGTGCTAGGAAATTAAATTATTTTTATTACTACTACTGCTACTACATTTGAAGTGTCTTTCCATCAAAAGGATGCTCAGGAGGCTGAGCAGCAAATAAAGTCACAACATACCTATCATCAGACTAAAACTCTGGGGCATAATCAGGGCTGGAAGATGTTTCATTCCCCAAATATTCCAAAATCTCTATGGGAATAAAGGAGGCATATTCTACTTGTATTTTTGCATAATATTATTCAGATTTTCAGAGATCTTGGATATATGTCAGGAAGTGACAGAGAAAAGCACGGAGAACCAAAGACATTTCATGTGACAGAGTGGCTAGAAAGTTGTTTAGCGGCACCTTCACACCACTGGTTCTGATCTAGAAGAAATGGTTTATAGGCATTTGCTAGGTGAACCTTGCAAAAGACAGTGTGCAGTAGTAAGCTTTTTTTTCCTGGTAGCCATATGGAATGTCATCTCCCCCCACCACCACCAGAGAAAAAGGCAAGATTTCCCAGTATTCTGGGTTCTATGCCAGATTTCACATTACAGTGTGGAAACTTTGCAAGGCTCATAACCCTGGGCATCACCTCTGGACACCACACATTCTTTCCAGGAGACACATGAACACTGGATACTCACTTGCAACAATTTGGGTAAAGTTTTCCTGAGAAGAACTCCATGCCAATGATGGCAAAACAGTAATAGAAGATAAGCAAGGTTAAGCCCAGGCTAGAGAAAAGAAAGCCAAGCATTAGCATAATCAAGATCAGTAGCAGCACAGTTATCTTAGATGGAGTTTATTTTGCACAACATGGGGATCCACACCAAATCTTCTCAGCCAAACAGAGTTGGGACTTCAAAGCTAGAAGATGCACAGTCCAAGAGAGCACAGCATCATAAAGACCGTAGATCCATAAAGACCATGTAAGTCTCCTGGAAGTTACCCATCCCAGACAAGGTCTTCTTAGCCCTATACCATTTCAAAAGGGCATTCACAATTAGTTCCAAAAGAAGCACCACTTCAAACACACACAAAATAAATGATGATCCAGCCTGGTCTAGAGGAGGTTGTGCTGCATCTAAAGGTGTCGGTTTGTACCTTGGGGATGCCATTAGATCCAAGCCTACAGGTGGTTGCACAAGTCTCCAACCTATCCAGCTTCAGCTGGTGTGCTAGCTGTGGTCCTCTCTTGAGAAACAACATCTGGCCACAGTGATCACTTCTCTGGATGCATCCAGATTTCATTATAGCAATGCACTGTAAGCAGAAGGCTGGCCTTTGTCCATAAATGTCAGTTGGTTCAACAAGGTTGCTAAGTATTGTACATACACACGAGAACACACACAAGAAGCTGCCTTATACTGAATCAGACTATCGGTCCATCAAGGTCAGTACTGTCTGTTCAGACTGACAGTGGCTCTCCAGGGTCTCAGGTAAAGGTATTTTGCATCACCTACTGCCTGGTCCTTTTTTAACTGGAGATACTGGGGACTGAACCTGGCACCTTTTGCATGCAACACCGAGGCTCTTCCAGTGAGCCACAGCCCCTCCACTTCAGCGGGCTGAAGAAACTCTACAGGCTTGCGATATTGCTTTGGGGGCACTATTCAAAGAATAGCTCTTACTTGTAAAGCCCTATATTGGTGTATCTGAAGGACCCCCTGCTCCCATGAGAAATGGCTCACCAATGAAGACCATGTCCAGAGGCCCTGCTCTGTGTTCCTCCCACTTTCAGTTGGGGAGCTGCTTATATTCATGGTTTATTTTTATTGCTTTGCTTTAATTTTTGCAAGCTATTTAAATCCGGAGCATGGGTAGTTAGACTAAACAAATGCAGCCAATATGGACACGTGAAGACGTTGCGTGGATGCCCCGTGCAAGTGAGGCCTTATCAGTTCATCTGTTAGATCTAGTATCTCTTTGAAGGCACCACATTTCCCAAACAGCAGCCACAACTGCAGACCAGATGCGGCACTGGGACTCCAGCAGAGAGCTGATCACCACTGAGCAGGGTCTTTCCCTGCAAGCTCTTTGAAGGCACCACATTTTCCAAACAGCAGCCACAACTGCTGACCAGATGCGGCACTGATACTCCGGCAAAGAGCTAATCACCACTGAGCAGGGTCTTTCCCTGCAATACCCTAAAAGCTGCTTCTTAGAAAATCATGAAGGCTGGAGATGGAGAAAGTGCTGGAGGCCAATTAAAGTGAGAAACAAAGGGCTGTGCCTCACTCCTCTCCAATGCCAGTGAAACCGGGCTCAGGACATTACCATCATCTGTAGTACCTGGCCATTCTGGGAAGCAGCTCGAACATGGTATCCAAGACATTCCTGTAGCGTTTCTTCAGCTTGAACAGCCTGCAACAAAGCGGGAAGGGGGAGTGGGGAGAGAATAAGCTGTGCTACATCTAATGATGCTCTTTGCTTCCTGGTGAGCACAGACACTCCTGATCTTTCCATGCATTATTAATCTGAGGCAGCCCAACGGGGACACGACACAGGCCATGTCAGGACAAGGTGGCTGCAGCTTCGCCTCTTCACCCATTATAATGGATCGTGGATACCAAGCTCCAAAGCTTAGAATAGGAGCAGATTTCTCTCTGCATGCCTTTAGGATGGGGCAGGATATACACTGTTTACAGCACTCCCATCAGGGGCAGATGGGGATCAGAAAAAGTGCACAGCAACATACAAAACGCCAGTTCCCAAATAGGGACAAACGAGTGACAAAAATGACAATGCGGAAGAGCCCTCTGCTGCAGGACTCAGTGGCCCCAAAGAGCCCCTGGGATATGAAACAGCATGCGTTTTGTAAATGTGCATATACAGCACACACAGTTTCCAGAACATCTCAGTAGAGAAATGGCACTGGCCAACTGGAGCATGAAATGCTGCCCTGGTATTGCATATTACAACCACCCTGTAAAGCAAGTCAGTAAAGATTATGCTCGTAATGAAGGTAGGAACACTGAGGCTGGGAGAACAACTGCTTGTCGAAGACCATCTATTTATTTAAAATATTTGTGAAGCCACACGCTGTCTCAAAAAACCAAAACCCACAGAAGGTGGCTCATGCAATCGTACGACAAATATCTGCAGCTTTAAAACCTAACAAAACCAAGCCACTTAATGCAGCAATAAAAGCTACCGGTAAAGCATTCTGTTCAAAAAGCAGCAGTCAAATCGACAACACAAATCCACAAAAATTAAATCAAACTCAACTTGTGCCTCATAGCTCAGTCTCTCAGCTGCCTTTTACAACACCTGGAAGCATTTTATGCTTGGAAAAGAGCTCTCTGGTGCAATGGCTTGAAAGAGGTCATACCAGATAAAGAATTACGGGCCCTCTGGAGTTTGAAGCAAGTGTGCAGCCCAACTTCTAGAGATCCTTCATAAATGAGGATGCTAGAGACTGAGCCTTCCCCACACGTGGTCTACTCCTGAGTTAGAGCCTGCTCCTGATCAGCAGCTAGAGAGGTGCTACACCCCATTGTGACCCCAGCCTGACTCTAATCCAACCCAGACTGCCCAGAAGTCAAGCCCATCTTCAACAAAATGAATCCTTCCAGTTCCTATTCTCCCTCCTACTCACCTCAGCAACTGCAATGGCCGCAGAACTACAATGAAGTAGAATGGCTTCATGTCAAATGCCAGCGCCAGGAGACCCAAGAAGGCAAAGAGGGTAACCGAAAAATCAAAGCTGAAAGAGAGCAAAACAGATATCCCTCAGTTGGGAATGTGCAAGCTGAGACCCCTCTGGAAAGAGTCACAAGGGTTCCCTTTGCAGCACTTACAAATTCCAGCCTGAAGACAGGTACTCTATAGGCCCCAGTCCAGTGACCTTCAGTAGCACTTCTACCCCATAGACTGTGGGCACAAGAGAGCATGGCATCAAAAAAGTGTTACAGCCTGGTGATTAGACATGATTTTCAGGAGGGAGGTTACGTGTTCACACTGTTCAGGAAAACAAGCCACAACCTTTTATGGGAAAGGGGGCATCATCAAGTGATGTGACCTGGCTGGAGAAAAAGGCTTTCCCAATCAGGAGCAATTTCAGCTTATTTAAACTGGCAGCCAAATAATTAGACAAAAAGCCCCAACAAGCTTTGGTTCATGGAGACAGCAGATGTATTACATCACCTCCTCACCTCCTTCACTCTCAAACTATGTCAGGTGGTTCCTTCCCTGTGGTTCTGTCTGAGTTAGAGACAGGCATTTGGTAAGTGACTGCATTTTATATTTTCAACTGGATTTTATATATTTAATTCTTCTCAGAATGCTAGAATGCTAGCGTCATTCTCCATATTCAGATCTATAAGATTAGAGCTTGAATAATTTCTCCTTACTCCTTTAAAAACATCTAGCCTGATCAAGAATTCTAAGATGGCCACTGCTGGGAGGGCGGGATATAAATATAATAAATAAATAAATAAGTCCACACACTTTGTGTTATTTTGGTTGTGGTGTTATGTGGCTCTTATTCAGGGCTTTTTTTGTAGAAAAACCCCAGCAGGAACTCATTAGCATAATTGGCCACACCCAAAAGCAGAAACATATTAGCATATTAAGCCACACCCCTGACAGCACAGCTCATTAGCATATGAGGCCACACCCCTGTGTTACCAGAAGTGTACTCATCCAGCCACACCCACCTTTTGCTTCTTATTCTGTTTACCTTGTTTATTTTTTCCCCATTAATAAACGATTTTATTAGAAGATAAGTCAAATATACATAAACAAGATTACTGTTTAAACAGTAATACAGACTGTAAGTGCAAATTCATTTAACACAATGCCATCTATTAACTTCTCGGCAGGAACATCTTATTACCGTGACAAGTGGAAAATAACAATACTGTTTACCTTGTTTAGTGTCAAAACCCAGGACTTTTTTTGTAGCAGGAACTCCTTTGCATGTTAGGCCACACACCTCTAATGTAGCCAATCCTAATGAGTTCCTGCTGTTGGGTGTGGCCTATTATGTTTTAACTCTTCTCAGAATGCTAGAAGTGTAACCTGGTACCAGGTACACCTAGCATCATTCTCCATATTCAGATCTGTAAGATTAGAGCTTGAATAATTTCTCCTTCCTCCTTTAAAAACATCCAGCCTGATCAAGAATTCTAAGACGGCCTTGGGTGATCCCCTGCTACAGAAGCAGCAAACTGCCCATACAGATATCTACCCCTAGAAACAATTGGCTTCGACATAACATGAAGGCACACAACAATCAGATGCTCGCTGAGGTGGTTCAGGTTTAAGCCTTCCAGTATGGTTAAAGAACAGGCACCACACCTGGGAGCACCAAGACTTACTTGTAAGGAAGACAATATAGCTCCACGGGACATCTCGAGAGAAGATTCCATCTGGAAAAACAGAGAGAGAGCATAAATAAATAAATAAATTTTAACAGGGCAGTGGAACCAGTAGCGGGGAGGGGGGCGCAGAACACCAGCAGGAGCTGTATGTCCCATACCTCGCAGCATGAAGGTCTCCACTAAGATCCAGAGGCCATTCACTGCCACCAGAGTATCTGCAACACAAACAGGAGAAAACAGCAGCTTGCCTTTAAAGCACAAGCACAGAGCAACTGAGTCATCAAGGGGTCATTCACATGCATGGGACTGGTTAAGACAGGGGTCCTCAACACAGTCCCTGCAGGCACCATGGTGCTTACCGATGCCTTTTTCGGAGCCTGCCAAGCATTTTTAGGAAGTGGGCGGGGTCCGGTAGGCCTTTTGTCCAGCAAGGTTTCTGACTGTTGGTTTGGACTATTGGGAGATTTGATTGGCTGTGAAGATTTTTTTTAATGTTGCTTTGGCAGCAGCTGCCACTGCAGCACAAGGATCCACACTGCATGACTGTGGTTAAGCTGTGGCGATCCTTTTGTGGCTGGCTCCACCTCCTGTGGCAGCCATTTTGTTGCTGCACCCACCATGCCATGTCAGAATTCCAAATCTGCCCGCAGGTTTGAGAATGCTCGGAACCCCGGACACACTACCTGTACTGAAGGGACATTCAGGGGATGAGTCAAGTTCTCTCCCCCACTTCACCTTTAAGAGAACAGGCCACCCCCTTGGACATGTGTCACTGGCATATTTTCACGGCCCAACAGACTGCAAGAGAGCTCTGTCTTAAACTGGCTTCTTGCACTTAGTGCTGCAGTTTTTTTTAATAATAAAAGCACAACGTTTAGTCAAGCCCATTGGGATCTTTCCCCTATTTACTCTGGTAACAATGTGAATCACAGTTAAAAAACTGTTGACATATGGAGAAAATATTGAATACGCACAGGGGTCATTTCCTGCAGGAGCGCACAGGAGCGGAGCTCCGGCAGTAAGGAGCCCGGGGGGTGGGCACATGCAACAAGCCCCGCCCCCTGCTCCCAGCACCCCTCAGTCTGGCCATGAGGAGCAAGAAGCAGCCAGGTAAGTTGCAGAGGGCCCCCCCGTCCGCCTTCAGGTACAAGCTCTCCCTCCTCTGCGAGGACAGATCTGTACGCCCCCCCCCCCAATAGCTAGGAATCCAAAACAGTCCAGTGGAGCCTGAGCGGTGGGTGTTGCCTTCTGACACACTTCCGGTGATGTCAGGGGGTGGGGCATATGCAAATAAGTTATCCTAATAAGTTATGCTAATGAGCTCCTGCACCTCTTTTTCTACGAAATGACCCCTGAATACGCACACTACCTGTACTGAAGGGACATTCAGGGGATGAGTCAAGTTCTCTCCCCCACTTCACCTTTAAGAGAACAGGCCACCCCCTTGGACATGTGTCACTGGCATATTTTCACGGCCCAACAGACTGCAAGAGAGCTCTGTCTTAAACTGGCTTCTTGCCCTTAGTGCTGCAGTTTTTTTTAATAATAAAAGCACAAGTTTAGTCAAGCCCATTGGCAGGCCCCCTCAAGCGACAGCAAGATCTGGATCCAAAACTGTCTTGGATGATACCGCTTTAAGGAATCAAGCAAACAAATATGTGAACTACAGTGGCTCAGCAAACTCAGCTACTGCAAATCTGGATCAGATCACTTACACATGGTGTACTGGAAGGTTCGGGAATTCACCAGTATGTTAATGCCTGTTTGAAGAGAGTGATAAGCATGTTAACAAGAGGAACTTTAAAATCTTAATTTTTGACCCTTTCTTTCCCCACTCTCCTGCCAACCTAGCAGTTCGAAAGCAAGAAATTGCAAGTAGATAAATAGGGACCACTTCGGTGGGAAGGTAACAGCGTTCCGTGCGCCTTGGTGTTTAGTCATGCCGGCCACATGACCACGGAAAGGTCTTCGGACAGCGCTGGCTCTTCGGCTTGGAAACGGAGATGAGCACCGCAACCCTAGAGTCGGATTCGACTGGCTTTCAAGCAAGGGAACCTTTACCTTTACCTTTACTTTCCCCACTATGCACTGGAACCTGGTGTTCGAAGAAGGGAGCCTTGACTCTGGAAAGCTACTGGACTCGAATCTGACTGTTCTACTGCAGACCAACACGGCTGCCCTCTGAAACTGTTCTGTAAGTAAGCAGAGTATCTTCTGAAGTCTCTACTATTTAACTAGATGGATTTGTGCTGTTTCCATTACTGCACTAATTTATATGACAAAACAATCACATTGAAATAGAGGGTTCAACCCTCCCCCCAATATAAATGGTCTAGAAATAAACAGACACATATAAACAACAGGGATATTCCAAAGGTTGAGAAGTTACCAAAGACAGAGTTTAAGCCTTGGGGTAATAAGCAGTGGCCAGGCAGAATGTGATGCCTGCTAATGAGTTTGTGAAACCTTACTGGCTGAAGTGATCCGCAACGGTACTTTGGTGGTGACGTACAAGCAGGGGGAGGATTTGTGCCCTTTCACCTGACTAATCAGCAGCAAGTTCATCTTGCTTTGTCTGGAATAACAGGGCCACCAAGAGAGGGAACGCAACCAAAACCACCTGCGTTATCACACACACAAACGAGCAGCTCCTCCAAAATCAAATCCACAAAGATCTGAAAGCCACACTTCCAGAGATATCATTTGCCATGGTTCACGGAGGACACAAACATGATCAAAATAACACTCACTCAAGAAGGACAGGCCAATGCAGTTGCAGGCTCCCTAGTCTGTTCCAATCACAATCTTGTATTTCCCCCCCACTACAATGTGCTTTGGCCATTGAGAGATTAAATTGCCCTGGGAAGCTGAGAAGACAGCCCACAGAAAACTGCTCTAAGAGGACCTTGGCCATCCCGCAACTGTATTGAGGTGATGCTTTCTACATTATTTGCTCTATCAACCTCTCCTTTCCTTATAAGAGAATTGATGAGTGCCTATAGCAATGGAGTGTTTACTTGTGTTTAAATGCATTGGAAGACACCTGTGTTTGAAACAAAGCTTTTCTGCACAGCCTCCCAATTAAGGAAACAATTTCCACTACTTTGTACATTCATGTTTGCAGCAAGAGAAAGATCACTCTCTGCAGAGGAGTGTTTTGGCATACAGGCAGAGCCTTCAACTGCATCAGCTCAGAGTGTTACCTTTAAAAATGAGGAATGCTGTTCGTGGCTCCATTTAACTCCTCCAAAGAACCATTTTTTAAAAAATCCTTACCTTCCATTTTAAACCAACAACTTCATAGAAATTGTGTATGTCCTTTAGACTGAAAAAGAAGAGTGAGCTCTATCAGAGCGGGTGTTTGCAATAAACACATCAGTTGTGTGAAGTTACGTTTACATATACATTGTACCAGGTTCACAGATTCAAGACCTGCCAGGACTCTTGGATAAAGCTGCCATTAAGTTCTTGTTGTAGATCTGTTAATTTTTATTTTTTTTTATTTTTATTTATTGTTCGATTTATATCTCGCCCTCCCCAAAACGGGCTTGGGCGGCTAACCATTAGGGCACAAAGCCAAGATTAAACAATTAGGGCACGAAGCCATGATTAAAACACTAAAAACAGAATAAAACAATCCAATAATACATAAAGTGCAGGTGCTCTAGATGTCTCTACAGTCCCTCTAGATGTCACTTCAATCCTCAATTCCAAGATGGGTTCTGGTAAAATAAGCCCAGAACAGTGGCGTAAGTTCTGTAACAACACTGCCATCCAATCTTTGTCCCAGGGCAGTCTTGCACCTCAGTCCCCCTCCCCTTACTGCTTTCTGCATGTGGGACTGTAGACCTCTGCACATCACAACTCTGTTTTTTGCATGGCTTTACTCACTTCCCTGGCAGAAACCAAATCAACACTGTGGTCAGGTACAGAGCCCATAAATGATCTTGTCCACTATAGAAAGAAGCAGCAGAAACCCAGCTAAAGGCCTTGTGAAACTTGAACAGTTCCATTAACCTCTCTAGCCTGGTTAGCCTCACTCCGATCTTGTCCACTATAGAAAGAAGCAGCAGAAAACCAGCTAAAGGCCCTGTGAAACTTGGACAGTTCCATTAACCTCTCTAGCCTGGTTAGCCTCATTCCGAGAATACAGGCAGGAGCTGTTAAACACACACAAAACTGTTGAAGCTCAGACCAACGGGCTCTGTGGTGTAAGAGGATGGGAAGAGAGAAAATTATACAGTTCTACCCATCCAAGCAAGACCACCAGAGAGGAGAGATCATCCTGGATATCCGTTCCAATGTTCAGCTGATTTCCCTTGTCTACTTCCATCCCCTCTCCACTATTCTTCCCTTAAGAGCCTCCTCTTTTCAGACTGTACAACTGAAGGCAAGGCTGGCCCTCTCTTCCTGAAACAATTGTTAGAAAAGTAGGATATATATTCAACAAACAGACAAATGAAGTTTTCTGTCTGTCCCATTAGATTATAAAGCCCAGCGTGGTGTGCTCACAAGACTCCACAGCTTAGAGGGAGCATGGTGTAGTGGTTAGAGTTGTCAGACTAGGATCTGGGAGACCCAGGATTGAATCCCCAGTCCGCCATGGAAGCTTGCTGGGTGATCTTGGGCCAGTCACATACTCTCAGCCTAACCTACCCCACAGCACAGTTGTGAGGATAACATGGAGAGGAGAGGAGAATGATGCAAACCATTTGGGGTCCTCGGTGAGGAGAAAGATAAGGAATAACTGAAGTAAATAAATAAGATTAGAATTTAGGTTCACACAAAGTTGTCAATTGGTGGTAGAAAAGCAAAGAAATAACTTTTTCACAGAACACAAATTACTTAGGAAAAGTCACTGCCACTAGATGTGGTGACAGCTGCTAACTTGGAGTTTTTTAAAAAATAAAGGGCACCGGACAAGCTAATGGAAGACAGGGCTATCAATTATTAGCTATGATAACCTAGTGGAACCTACAGGTTCACAGGCAGCAAGCTCCTGGATACTATTTGGGGACGGACAACCTGTCCACTTCTCAAAAGCCTCCAGACGACAGTGCTGGAAACAGAATTAGATGGACCCTCAGTCCAATCCAGCACAGCTCTTCCTATATTTTTAGTACAGAAAAATCTTTTCTTCTTGGTCCTTCTATTTCTGAAGCCCCCAAAATGTCTTCAATATACTCGAAATGTGTATCGCCAAAATTATTCCATTGGTAAATTTGCAAAGCATGGCTTCCCAATCCTTGTTACATAATTCTGCATTTTGATGCTCCTGAATTCTTCATTTGGAATACCACTTATTCCTACACACTCCACCTTTCCATCTCCCACCCCAGGGGGAAACTGGATCAAGTTCTCACCTGACTAAAGGAGTATTGCTTTGATTCAGTGCTTTGAAAGTAAGGTAGCGATCTCTGGAGTTCATCCGAGGTTTATAAAAACGCATCAGCCCATCAAACTGCTTGAAAGAGATTCCTGAAGGTCTCTAGAAACAAGACATGGAGAAACCATACAGGCTATCACAGAAATATGTCAACCTTCATTCCTTCTGCAACCCAGAGAAGAAACTGCTGGGTAATTGCCAAACACCTCCACAATCACAGTCAACTCTGGATAGAAATCTCCAGTGCTATGGGAACCAGAGATAAATACTATGGATTGTTGCCTCAATATGCAGGACGCATTTCTCTGACCGAAGTCAGGAAAGTAGTAGGGCTCCTAAATCACTGAATATGCCAAAATGGTATCTGCATTACTAACCCCACACAAAGAAACCCCACATGCACTTTTCAATAGGGAAGATGTGGGAAAGTGACATGCTGAGAAGCTGACTGATATAAACAAGGGCCTTGCTGGTAAAGTGCCTCTGAGGTGGAGGTACAGCAGTGTCCGATCTCAGGATGACGCATGCTTTGTTACCGGAGACGAAGTAAAAATTTTCAATAGGGAAGATGTGGGAAAGTGACATGCTGAGAAGCTGACTGATATAAACAAGGGCCTTGCTGGTAAAGTGCCTCTGAGGTGGAGGTACAGCAGTGTCCGATCTCAGGATGACGCATGCTTTGTTACCGGAGACGAAGTAAAACATGAAACTTTTTCCAGAATCAAAAGACTTTTAAGTGCATCCAATGCTGGCTAATGCTGGATTTACATTGCTAATGCACAGGATTTAAGAGGGCCACACAACAGAAGCACACGTTAAGTAACCAACCCCTGCAAGAAATCCA